TTTAGAAGCCAGTCTGATAGCTCCAGCCTAATTTTGAAAGGAACTAAGCAGATAAGTGTTGATGATTACTAAGTGGCATATGCCCTGACTCCAATGTAAGCTTCTATAGCCCACGAGATCCACGGTTCTGCCTTACTTATTAAACTGCTGAATCTGCTGTTCATACTCAGGTGTAGACACATAATAGGTGTTCAATAAATATGTACATTATGCTTTCACTTACATTTCATTACCTCTATGAGGAAATTTGTTATTCCTCTTCTTACATGAATAACCTGAATCTCATAGAAATTACACAACTGTTCTAGAACCCACATAGCTGGTTAGTCACTGAATGAAACCCTAAGTTTGTACTCCCATATTCAATAAACTTTATGTGATCTCACTTACCTTTCTTAAAAGAAAGGTAGATCTCTTAAACAACTCTGTGTCGAGTGGATTCTAACATGTTTTTCCTCTGAGTCTATAGCCAGGGTGCACAGATAGTGACAAAGCCCATTCTACGTAACAACGACCCTCTGCTCATTTTCAGGGATCCCCAGGCTCCTCCTGCAGCCTTTTTGGTAAGCAGTAGAGAGTGAGCCTGGAATCTGCCACCATCTTCCATGGTCTTTTGCTCTCCCAGGTTGCTGAGGTGATGCCCAACTGAAGCTTTGCTGCCTCTGTGCCACCCTGGTAAGGGTTGTGGGCTCCCACATGCCATTTTCCTGAGGGCACACTCCAAGCCCCTGTGTATGCCACCTCTCCAGAAGCTGAGATGTGTACTCACCTCAAAGCTACAACCTTTCTTCTCCCAGGGGATTAAATCGCTCCTCCATTTTCTAGACTGCCATTGGTCTTCATTCTTTTTGTCTCTGTTCCAGTGCCCTTTTCATGAAGAGGTGAGTGTCAGGCCTTCTTTGTTATTCTTCCATAAGCTGCCCAGCCAGGAGCCCATTCTTTTAGCTCTCTCCTTCAAAGACTGATTCCATTTTCTTCCCCAAACTCATGACCTTTTTCATCCCACTTAACAATACCTGCATGCAAGCATATACATACACACCCATGCACACAGAAACAGCCCTTCCTCATTCCTTGGAGCCAAGCCTTATATTCCACTTTGAAGCTCTCACTACAGGAATACAGTCATGTTCTACATAGAGCCATTTTGGTCAATGACAGACCACATATATGACAGTGGTCTCATAAGATATACTTTTATTTTCCACTTTCTATTTTTAGATACACAAACACTTAGCATTGCGTTACAGTTGCTGACAGTGTTTGGTACAGTAACATGCTCTACAGTTTTATAGCCTAGAAACAAGAGGTTGTACCATATAGCTAGGTATGTGGTAGGGTATACCAGCTAGGTTTCTGTAAGTATACTCCATGATGTTTCTAAAATCACAAAATTTCCCAAGGATGTTGCATCTCTGAGATGGGAAGTTCTGACAGCCTGCTAATATGTTTTGAATGCTTTGTTCCCTCCAAATCTGATGTTGAAATGTGACCTCCAATGTTGGAAGTGGACCTAGTAGAAGGCATTAGAGTTACGAGGGCTGATCCCCCATGAATCACTTGATGCCCTCTCATGGTAAAGTGAGTTCTTCTGTGAGTTCACATGAGAGCTGTTTTTTTTTAAAAGGAGTCTGGCACCTCCACCTCTCTCTCTTGCTTCCTCTTTCGCCATGTGACATGCTGGCTCCCCTTTGCCTTCCACCGTGATTAGAAGCAGATGCCGATGCCTTGCTTCTTGTACAGCCTGCAGAACCATGAGCCAAATAAAGCTCTTTTCTTTAGAAGTTACCCAGCTTCAGGTACTCCTTTATAGCAATCCAAATGGACTAACATACTTTTTTTTTTTTGCTTTCTAATGGCTGACTAATTGTTGCACAGAAAGTATCTCCTTTTCTTCAACTGCAATTTGTATTTATTCAACATGGTATTGTTGTAACAGCAGCAATAGCATGCAGAACTGAAATAATTACAAGAAAATGCAAACCTGAAGGATGGGTGGTAGATGTAGTGAAACTTCATCACCAGGGGCCAACCTCCTCGGAATCCGCTGCCAAAAGGGTTAATGCGAAAGCCTTACCAGTCAAGGACAAGTTCGGATTGCAGACAGAGAAATAAGGATTTATCTGTGGTCCCTCACTGCACAACTGAGCACTACATTATCAAAAGCTGAATGTGTGGTTCATGTTTCATTACCTGGGTCAGGAAGAGTGTAAATTTGGAGGCCATATATTATAATTTTCCCCTGTCTGGAACCGTTAACAGCATACCTCTGGCTTGAGTTGCAGCCTTGAAAATCTATGAGCTCTTTTCTACTTCACTGGAGCATCAAAAGTATCTACCAAGAGCTGGAACAAACACAGTTTTTGGAATAGCCTTCCTTTGTTACATCATTCTGCAGAGACCCACTTACGTTTGTGTTGGAGAAGAAATTTTGCATACACACCATCTCTCATCCTAACTCAATCTTTGTTTTCAGACTCTTCTTGTCCTAGCTCCCACTTGATGAATTGCTCTGTAATTGAAATTGCCTTATGTTTTTACTATGTTTACTATAAATTTTATAATTCAGGTATTTTAGGATTTGCTGACAGATTCACCATTAAACAAGGTGGCCCACTCTTCAAATAAAACTAAGGCTGCATTAAAGGACAAGGGACTCTAAATGGTAATTTGCAAACTAATCATTTTACTTGTTAGTGTTTTCATCCTCATATAGCACCTTCTGTCTTTTCCCAAAACCTCTCTATTATGGGCTAAATTGTATTTTTCCAAAATTTATATGTTGGAGCCCTAAACTCCAGTACCTCAAAATGTAACTATATTTGGAAATAGGTCCTTGAGGAATTTATTAAATTAAAATGAGGCCATTAGGGTGGGCCCTAATCCAATCTGATTAGTGTCCCTTATAAGAAAAGGGACACCAGGGATGCCAAGCACAGAGGACAGGCCATGTGAGGACACAGTGGGAAGACACACATCTGCTAGCCAAGGAAACAGAAATCAACCCTACCGACACCTTGATCTTAGACTTTTAGCCTCCAAAAACTGTGAGAGAATACATTTCTGCTGTTTAAACCATTCAGTCTGTGGTATTGTTATAACACCCTTGGCAAATTAACACATGATCCAACGACCAAGATCTAACTAATTCTCGGCTAAGTTAAAAATTTTAAATTTTGTTATGGGAATGACTTGCACATCTAGAGATGTTTTAAAATGGCATTCTCAGCTGGGCGAAGTGGCTCACGCCTGTAATCCCAGCACTTTGGGAGGCCAGGGTGGGCAGATCACCTGAGGTCAGGAGATAGAGACCAGCCTGGCTAACACGGCGAAAGCCCATCTCTACTAAAAAGACAAAAAATTAGCCAGGTGTGGTGGTACATGCCTCTAGTCTCAGCTAATAGGGAGGCTAAGAAAGGAGAATCACTTGACCCTGGGAGGTGGAGGTTGCAGTGAGCTGGAATCGTGCCATTGTACTCCAGCCTGGGTGACACAGAGAGACTCCATCCCCCTCCAAAAAAAAAATTCTTAATAGAGTTATCTTAGAGTATCTGTTATTTCTGATGGACTGACATTGTCATGTCTACCTTTCATTCATTTATTCAGGGAACATTAATTTAGACCTTATTGTTAGGCTTGCATGGCATTAGGCACCAAGACTGATACAAATATAGAAATAAAATATATGACACATTTAGATGACTATAATAGAAGGAAACACAGTAGTATGAAACAAAGTGAAATGGAATTTCAGAGAAGAGAGAAAGAACTTCTAGCAAGGTCCCTTTGGGATGTGACATTTGGAGCATCAGAAGTAAAGTCGGAAAGGAAGAAAGATATAAGGTGCAAGTAGACAAAATAGTCAGGCATGTAAGATTTAAGTACCATATACCAAAGCCAACACTGGTAGGGTGGTTCATGAGGAACAAATTAGGGAAGGTCCTGCATTCTAGGTTCAGAAGTATAAATCAACCTACAAGATTACATTCATATTCTTAGCAAATTGGGAGCCAATAAAACTGATGCATGTGAAACGTAGTGAGATAGCTAAGAACCCTGCCTTCAGAGTAGACAGAGCTGGTTTTATCCTTAGCTCTGCCGTGACATAGCTTTGTGGCCATACTTAGTAGTGTTACTTAAGCTCTTCAGGTCTTAATTTCCTAATTTGTAAAAAAGAAAAAGAAAAAATGGAGATCATACTACTTGCCTACTTTTGTAGGGTTGTTATAAAAACAAGTAAAAAGCTGAATATTTACAAGATGCTTCTTATGAGTATTTGGCTTTTACTTGGTGCTGGGCTTAAGTAAGTACTCAAAAACTTTACCTTTTTTTTTTTTTACAATGAGAAGAATGATTTAAAGTTTCCTTTTGGGAAGAGTAAAATTGCAATGACATTATGAAGAAACATAAGGGCTTTTTATTTACTAAAATCTCTAAATCATTGTAGACATGTTAATATATTCTAAGTTTTATATTTTAAGATTAAATATTTTTTCTTCTGAAACTTTAAAAAAAGTGATAGGAATCTAATGACTTGGTTCACTAAATAAACAGACTAGAAGCATGGAAAACTGAAAAGTGGTGAGTGGCTGTGTGTAGACCACGGTAAACATTCAAATGGAGACGCTTTCATGGGGTTGTGGTCAGGAACCTACACTGGGCCTAATATCACCATCAGACAAGGAGATATTTGAATTGTAAGCAATCTAAGCCATATTTTCAAGAATTATTTCTTTTAATTTGGATGTTCAGTTCCATGGGTACAGAGCCAGAGTGTTGATTGAAGAGAATTTGGAATAGGGAGAAAGTGAATTAACCATTAACTTTAATTTCATTAAAGTTTCATTAATTTCATTAAAGTTATTGTTCTAAGATGCAAACAAAATTCCAGGCTGCGGTGCATGTCCCACATCAAAAGAACATTATATCACTTCCTGGGTTTGGCTGTATTGTTATTTTTTCTTATTCTTCCTCTTCTTTTTTCCCTCTTCATTTGGCAGATCCTGGACATGCGGCCATTCTTTTCCTACACCATTTAAGTCCAATGGCAAGCTGGAGCCTAAAAGTGGCTGTGCCCAAGCTTTCAGTGTTTTTTCTCCTGGGAGAAACTTTGGAATGAGCACATCCTCTCATGACTGAAGCTGTTATTTATTAAAGCAGCGGCGCATTGATAGATTTAGCAGCAGTGGACCGAAGTTGAGCTCTGTTGCAGGATACTGAAGACCTTGTCAGATGTGGGCAGCCAGTAGACAGCTGTAAGGCAACCCTTGAACTGAGAGCTCTGCCATGGTAATTAGTGCTGTAAATGAGTCAAACTTATAGTGGCATATGCTCAAATCTAATATAGCGTCGTCTGTTACTATCTTTGTGTTACAATGATCATGACTGCTATCAGAATGTGCAAGAAGTATTCTTAAAGGGTTAACAAAGCAATAACAAAGAAGCTAGCAACTGCCCACTGCCATCCCCCCACCTCCAAACAACCTCCACCCTAGATTACTTCCAAAACCCATTTCAAATAGAGATAAATTCAGGTGAGTTTTCTATACCACAGCCTGATCTTTGGCTGTCTAAGATTACTTTTCAACAATATAAGATGCATAAGTGCCTTTTCATCGTATGAAGAAAGCATGCCCACTGGCAAATGAATCATATTATAAAAATTGATTGTATCCCAAAAGGGAAAAATGTTATTGAAGATCCAATGGCCTGGGATGATACACCATTGATCATTGTAAGAAATACTTCCAGAAACTGTTTTTAATCTTTCCGCCAGAGCATTAGCAATTATTCTTTAGCCCATGGTGAGTAATGACTTGAGTTTCCCAGCTTCTCAATCGATAAAACATTTACCCTACTGCTACAAATGTGCTCTTCGCTTAGACAAGCAGAATTTTTCTTCCAATTACTCTTTTTTTTAGTGTGACCTCATAAAATATTTTTAAACATATTTCAAGGCTCTTTTGTAAAAAAGGAAAGGAATAATACTCTTCCACGTGCTTATTTTTCCCCTTTCTTTTCCTTCTTTTGAGAAAGAAGTTATAGTTACTTAGATAACTAAGACTGCTTTTTATCATCTCTTTCAAACTTAAGAAATTGTTAGAGTACAGCCAACTACTACATTTTGGAGTTGGCCAGTAATAAAACATTTCTCTTCCTTTTTCCCCTGAACAAAGGTGGTTGTCCAAATTCCTCTGAAAATCAACAAAAATCAACAACAACAAAATGTTATAACACTCCTAAGGAGGCTGATATCCTCCTCCACTTTCTCTATATTCTTCATAAAACTACAGCATCGGCTAATGGAGAAGAACATAAAATACACCGTTATCAGGATAACAAATAGCTGTACACAAAATTAGAGTTTAAAGACAAGCATCCACAAGTATCTTTTGGTGACTTACAAGTTAACATTCTAGCAAGTTTTCCTTTCCAAACAATTTATGCTGTACTTCTATTTGAAATTACAACCTCAACTCAAGCAAAAGTACCTGCTGTTACTTCTTATCACGATTGCTTTCTCTCTAGAACAATGTCTACTTTGGCATCTTTATTAAACCATGATTGTCACACAAAAGAATTTGAAACTCCTTTAAAAATAAAAGGCCGATTCTTGCTGGGTTTTTGCATGAAGGTTTGGTTTGCAATGACACCCTTTTTTTTTTTTTTTAATTAGACTTGGAAAATTGAATCTAGTACTGATAAGGCAGATTTTTAATTCTTCTCCATCCAAAGGTGGCTTTATAACAGTGTGTGCCCTGATCTGAGTAAACAAGGTGCACAAGAGTAGACTTCATCTGTTGTCACAAGTTTAAGGGACTACTGGTGAGTGAGAATTCAGAGGCTTATTGGTAGAATAGGCCCCGTGGTGGAAGAACACCCAAAATGCTCTTTCATTCTAAAGTAGAATAGGAATTAGGATATGGGCTCGATAACAGGAATATGAGGGAGGAGAGGAAACTGTAGGCAAATTTTAAGCTCCTATTTCTGTCATCAGATTTTTGTCAGAATGAAAACATTCTATTCTATAAACCGGGCACAGCTGGCTGAAATAAAAAATTATCAAAATATGCATTACTTACGTTATCCACAGCAGGTCTGTGGTAAATACGGCATCAAACTAATGATAAGAACTCAGGTTAGAAAGTCAGAGCAATTGTTTTTAAAAGATACGACTGTAAATATGTATGTCACAAGTCTTCTCACATGTTTTTGATCAAACCTGGCAATGGAGTCACTGTGTTTTGATTATTTTATGGTGATCTTCTTGCTTTTTTATTCCATTCATCCATTTGGACAGCAAACATTATTTGAGTATCTACAAAAGCACTAGGTATTTCACTTCACCTCTGCCAGCCTGGAACAGATTGTCTAGTAAGAAAGACAACATGTAAAGTCTTTCATTCTTATTGTTCCTGGTGCCTCAGAAATAAAAGTGACCTTTGACTCATGAGCATTCCTGCCTGAGAGAAATGGTTTCATGAGATGTCTTTCCAAACATTGTATGTTTTTGTCTACTCTCTAACTACCCCAACTCCTCTGTTCCCCATCCAGTGATGTTTCTCCCCTCTTCACTGTTTATACCTAAAGAAATGTTTAGAGAAAAGGCCTTGGAAAGAAAAAAGTGCATTGACAGCTAATCATGATTTTCTTTTTTTAATGGGGAATGCACTCCCAGATTCTAACCCTTTGACACAAAGGACAGTGGTGAAGATCAAATGGGGTGATGCCCTTGAAGCATTATGCTCTCCATAAAGCACCATATAGATGTAAGGGATTATCATATTGTTACAAATATTTTGAAGAAAATGAATGCCCAGGTTGGTGATGTTCTTCCCCAAAGGCTTGCTCACTATTGTGTAGACAATCTTCATTCACAATACTAAGTCAGCATCTCATGCTGTGACTTTTCTTGCATCTCCCCAGGAATGCCATATTTTTAAATGACTATTATACCATGTCATGTAGCTGCAGACCCCTAGCTGCCTCCATTTCTCTACCTGGAAGGTTAATCAAATGTAAGCATTTTCCTATTCTATAGCAGGCATCCTGGGGCATACAATTTGGGATTAGTGACTGACCCTGCTGTTCATTCTGACAGCACACACTCCAGATTGCATTCTCCTTTTAATAAGCAGAGCTGGTAGGAGAAAAGGCAAGAGTCATTAACTAAAAGTTAGCTGAGGATTGAAACACAGCACACTTTGCTTCTGAGAAGCTCTTCTGAAAGAAAACCTTTTGTTCCCAGGAACCATGTAACAGTATATCCTAGGATTTCATGATAATTTATCTTGACCTTTAGCAAAATGAAATCTTATACAATGGCTGGGTCGCATATATTTTCTTGATCACTTACCTGCTACTGTATTTCTGGCGTTGTTGAAGAGAATGAGCTTAGGAGAGTCACAACAGCTTATGCAGGAAGCTTTTTTTAAAATGAACTACCATGGCATACTTAAAATGTGACGGATTAAACATAACAGTCTAGAAGGCAGTTGCCAGGGATTCATATTTGAAGGCTTTCTTGTTAGGCTACAGGCGCAAATGAGAAGTATTTTTGTGAAGGCACCTTCCTCTTCTCTTTATTCCTATTCCCTGCTTTCTTGCCCTAGTACCACAGGTAAACATTTTCTCTCTCTCTTGGAGTCTTGATTTCTGGGTTGCTTGATCTTATTGTGGTAAGGACACTGTGTACAAGCTCAAGCCTGGGAGACTAGAGTATATTTTTAAGCTTCTTGCTACTCAAGTGGTCTCATTCCATGGCTAGTAATGTATGTTTTCCTACTGTTTTTTTTTTTGGCAGGTTGTTTTTTTTACAGTATGATTAAAGTGATCAAATTATTTTATATACAGTGTGAGCTAACAAGAATATATCTAAAGAATTTAACTTAATCATGATTAATTGCTAGAGGGGTAGACACATTCTGATCTCAGGATCAGGCAGCTGGGATGGAAGGACAGAGCTTCCATCTATGGTTTCGAAGTTTGTGCCCTAAGCAACTTCAGGCCACTCCCAGAGTTATGCAGTGTCTACTTGCCCAGGTGTACTCCTTGGGGAGTAATCCTGTACCCTGGTGTAGTCAACAGAAGTACAGAAAGGTAAACCTTTGACTACCTTGTCTATGTGTTTCATGGTCTTTCCATCATAGGACTTCATCTAAAACATCTTTTCATCATAAAGCCTGCCATGTCAACATGATCCAAGAGAGAAATGATTGGAAAATTCTTTTGAAGAATATGCTTTGAGGTAGTGTGGTAGGCAGAATCCCCAAAGATATCCACACCTTAATCCTCAGTACCTATAATATGTTATCTTACATGGGAAAAAAAGTGATTAAGAATCTTGAGATAAGGAGATTTTTCTGGATTATCTAGCTAGGTCTAATTTAATCATGAGTCTTTGAAGGTATTTTTTCCAGCTGTGGTCAGAGAGAGATATGACAACAGATGAAGAGTCAGAGAGATGCTACCCTGCTGTCTTTAAAGATAGAGGAAAAGACCATGAGCCAAGCAGTGCAGGCAGCCTCTAGGAGCTGGAAAAGGCAAAGAAATGAATTTTCCCCTTGAATCTCTGGAAGGAATGCAATATTGCTGATAGCTTAATATATAGGGCTGTATTGTAATAAATATGTGATGTTTTAAGCCACTAAGTTTGTGACCATTTAGAACAGAACTAATACAGGTAGCAACCCTTCCCTCAATCTACTCCTCTCTTTCCTCTCTCAGCCCTCCAAGTGCTTCTGCAAATGATTAACTTAGTTTACATGTCTGGACCAAAAAACAGAATGGTTTAGAGCAGGGGTCAAGAAGGGGTACAAACCAGATAATAAATCCTATTGTTGTAGCAAGAAAGTAGCTGGAAGTAATATGTAACTGAATAGGTGTGGTTGTGTTCCAATAAAACCTTATTTACAGACACAAGAGGTTCACCCACAGGTAGTAATTTGCCAACCCTTGATTTAGAGCTTCGTTAGTCCAAATGTAGTCCCCAAATCAACAGCATCCTTTGGAACCTTGTTGGAGATGTAGAATTCCAAGACACATCTCAGACCTACTAGATCTGCATTTTAACAAGATCTGCCAGTGACTCATATGCACATTCAAGCTTGAGAAGCTTTGCTCTACAGGATTTAGCATTCTAGGGATGAAGCAAAATTATAAGAACAAATATTATTAACATCCTTGTTTCTAGCTGCAGAGCACTGCTCAGGTAAGGAAGGCAGATGCCAGGCCTTAAAGGAAAGTAATGATGTGAGCATTTGTTAAGCACCAACTATGTGTGGGGCACTTTCAAAGAGGCTATTCTGTTTAATTCTCATATTGACTTCAAGTCATTTTCCCCAACTTTTATAGATGAGGAAATTGAAGCTTATCCAGGCTCTCTTATGAGTGAGAGAGCAGAGACCTGAAGCTCAGGTGCCTGAACTCTAAAAGTCAAGCGTCTTCTACCATACTATACAGAAGTGCCTGTCTTCCAAAACTTATTTAATACTTGCATCCACAGCAATTCTTGGCTTTAAAAATTCCTAAGATGTAAGGTTTAGCCAGATATGATATCACTGGAACTTTGGATGCATATGGTGCACTGTATCCTTTATTTATAAAAATCTTTCAAGATTGGCTACCTTTTGTTTTCTCCCTGTTTTTTGTTTTTTTTTTTTTTTTTTAAATCTTGGTTACTCTCATTAGCTGAAAAACTCCTGGATGACATTCTGTTGGACAGAGTCGACTATTTAATTATCAGCAAATTAGGATCTCTTGTGGCCTACGATTTTTGAGGTTAACTATAATAGTTGCTATTTTGATTTCTAAAACATTCCCGAAGTGGAACTTAATGGACATAGTTAGCAAATGGACATGAAGCTAATAAATCTCAGCCACCTCAGTCTCAGCTCTGCACCTCTCCAGCCAGCCTTTTCACATCCATCAAAGGACTATCTGTTAGAACAAATGGGCTTAGCATGGGTCTCTGAAGGAGAGTTTTAGGGAAAAAAAAAGGGAGAGAGATTTCCAAACTATGCACCTTCAATGGAAACACTAGAAACAATATCTTCACATCCAAATTTCAAAAATGTAGGGACCACTGGTCCTTTTAAACTATAGGCACAAAAAACAGAAGATGGTATCAAATGTGACCAGGATATATAAACTTAAATTAGGCTCAAGCAGAAAAATGAAAGGCAGATTTTAGTTTCATGAGAAATATGGATACTGGATTCTCACATAAAATGAAAGACATTTTTAGCCTTCTCTGCCCTTCAGAGGAACTCCGTCCTTTCTGGGAGAAAATTCTAACTGACATGGAGTGCAGTTTCCACTTCCAGCAAAAGGCTCTGCTTATAAGACCAAGTTTAAGAATTCAATCCTGAGCTGTGGGACAGGGTTCTATCTACTCATTGTCATTAAGGTCCAACCTAATCTTCAGTGACAGGAGGGCTTTCAGAGCTGGGTAATCACAAGCTCCTTGCTCTTGATCTCAAGATTCAGGGGACATCTCCCATCTTGCCCAATCAAACTCAAGCTTCATTTAGCAGTTTGCTGCTTTTGTTAAGGAGCAAGCAGGCGCGGTGGCTCAAGCCTGTAATCCTAGCACTTTGGGAGGCTGAGGCGGGTGGATCACGAGGTCAAGAGATTGAGACCATCCTGGTCAACATGGTGAAACCCCGTCTCTACTAAAAATACAAAAAATTAGCTGGGCATGGTGGCGCTTGCCTGTAATCCCAGCTACAGGAGGCTGAGGCAGGAGAATTGCCTGAACCCAGGAGGCGGAGGTTGCGGTGAGCCGAGATCGCGCCATTACACTCCAGCCTGGGTAACAAGAACGAAACTCCGTCTCAAAAAAAAAAAAAAAAAAAAAAAAAAAAAAAAAAAAAAAAGAGCAAGCTCACTGAGGAGCAAGATGTTGGAACTCAAATTCTGGTCTCTAGATGGCAGTCTAGCCCTGCTCAATCTGACTACTCCCCTATCCTGGGCGAATTGCTGAAGCCACTGTTAAAAATAAAACCTAACCCAGGAAAATCTATAGAGGGGGCATAACAAGATTCAGATATTAATTTTTGGTTGATGGCAAGTTAATGATTGGGCTTAAGCACCAAGTTGGAAGCACATGTCTCTGAACATGCAAACAATGCCGTTTGGCAGTCCTTCTAATTTGACTGGGTACAATTTAAGAGTGATGAATATGAATGACTCTACCATGGAATAAGCGCCTTGTCTGAAATGTGGCTTTACACCAGAAAGGCAAGAACGTGGCCATCATCAGATTCCTAGGGCCTTTTTATACATTGCCTATTTACATACAAAACATTTAGTCAATAAAATCTAGATGGGACAGTTAATTTGATAAAGAAAATTCACGATCTCTTGAAAATTTTCAGCAAAATGAAATGGCTGTTGGCATTGATAATGAAAGAAACTTCTTGATTGACTCATCTTTCAAATAGTTGTATTTGCCTTGTGTGGATAGAGTACATGAGCTCAGTGTTGAGAGCGTGAGCTGGTGCTTAGCTAAGCATTGTAAAATACTGATCTGTAAGAGAACTTAGGGGTCACTTCTGTCCAACTTTCTTACTGTACAGATAGAAAAGCCAAGCTCCACCACCAGCAGCCAAGCTCCAGACTCCACGCAAGACCTGAAGACTTGGCAACTGAGCTGACTTCCAACTGACTCCAAGAGGAGATCTGGACTTGGAATAGTGTGCATTTGGTCTTGTGTGCACAATTTCCAGTCATATGTAAATGTTATGTGTCAAAACAGCTCTCTATTAAGTGCAAATAGTAATGATACATCCAAAAGCTATTTTTATTTCTTTTTGTTCATTTAAAATATGCTCTTGAAATTTAAGAAAAATACAGATCCTAGGAGATATTAGAATACCTTCTGAGTGTGAGTACCTTCTGAGTGTGAGAAGCCTTGGCTAGATGTATTAATAAGAGCTCAGATAGAAACCTGTGTGGTGCTGTAGAAGAGGCAATGGAACAAGGGGACCACAGAGCACTGCATAATTTTGCTGTGGAGGTGCTGGAGCACCTCACTTTGCGTCAATATTCTCACCTGTAAAATGGTGATAATAAGGTTGTCCCTGCCTGCTTTGTAAAATAGCTGCAACAATCAAAGTATAAGAAGGGAGTAACGATACTTTCCGGAGAGCGGTACAGACAGTGTTGCTTTTAACATCAAAAATAAGGCACTTTGGACCCCAAAGTAAAGCATAGTAAAAATATATGTAAGCTACTTTTTAATCTTTAAAAAATTGTCTAAGTGAAAGAATACCACTTTTCTAATTGTATTTCAGTTATATAAAATACCAAAAATAGGTAAATCCCTAGAGGCAGAAAGCAGCTTGGTGGTTGCTAGAAGTTGGGGAAGGCAGGGAGAAGAGTGCTTGCTTATGTGTACAAGGTTTTCTTTTGGTGTGATGAAAATCTTTTGTAGCTAAATAAACGTAGTGGTTGCTCAACATTGTGAGGGCACTAAATGCCGCTGAATTGTTCACTTTAGAATGATTAATTTATATTATGTAAATAAACATTCAAAAGACTTGTGTGTATATATGTACATATGACTTGATGGGGGGAAGGGGTGGTCCCAGGAGTGTTTGTACGGATGATTTTATAAGTGTAATCTCGGACTCACAGACTCCTTTATAAAAATGTGTTTGTGAAGTTTACTTTGAGTTGCTGTTAGTGTTTGATTATCTCCATGAAACTAAGCCCAGCAGAATCTGTCCACACCAGGCCATTGGGTAGTGTCCAAGGATTACATGTGCTGTGAAATCCACAGATGCTTAGACAAATGCCCTTTGGCTTCTTGGGTTCTCTGACCCTACTAAACAGTTGCTGTGAGAGTTAAGACATGAGATTTGAGGGAGGAAAGCACAGCTTTATTGGTCCTCATCAGTTCGGTCTTAACAATTTGCCATTGCTAGAAATCAGACTTTTGCTTGAAATGGTTTCAGATGCTGACATTTTTTCCCCAAGTTGGCAAATCTTGCCTTTTGTGTCTTTAAATTTCCTCAGTGGGCCTCTTCTCTGACCTTCAAAGCAAATTGCTGTTTCATGGTATTAATTTTCTCACTGTAGGACATTGCCTTCTGATCTTTACAAGGCCCTGCTTCTGTTTCAAACTGACAGGAGTATCTACAAAGGCTGTGAATTAATATCAAGAATATTTTTTGCCTTCATTTACCATATAAATATTAAGAAGTGAATATTAGTCACCAACATATTTCTATTTGTATATTACATACACAATTTGAGGTGCAAAAATTTCACAGGATGACTTACCTGTTTCCATGTATCATTTGTAAGATTGGAAAAAAAAAGGCTAAATAAAAACAAAACAAACAAACAAACAAAAAAACAAACCTAGCTTCTATTGGATATCTTAGGATGTTAGAATATGCAATGGACTTTTCTCTGTATCCATCCAGCCAATTATGTAATATTTGAATATATCTCAGTAATTCCCTATCAGATTGTTTGCTCTAAGCTTGATGAGGAGTGTTTGAGCATTAGAAAGGTCTTCCCTAAATTGAGCCACATTTTATCACCCTGTGACTTCTAGTCTTGAATGTATTATGTGGAAACATTCAGGATAAGTCAAATGTGACTACCACATGATAGATTTTGAAGTATAAGAAGCAATGTTTTCCTTTTTATTTAGGCTAAACATACATAGTTCTTTCTATGGACTCTATTTGCAAAGCTTGAAATTCCTTTATTGTCTTATCATTATCCCCTGTACAGACATGTTTACTCACATCTCTATGAGAATGTGATGACCAGAACAGAATACTATATATGAGGTGTATATAAAGTATACAATGAAGAGGTTGGATCACAATCATCTTTGTAGACTGTATATATATATTTTTAAGGCAACCAAGATTTAATGTTTAATATAATTGTGTCTTTGTGTCAGTTACAGGAAAATTTTAGTTATTGAATGTGACTGCCAAGGTTGAAGTTTGAAAAATTTAGAGATGTTTTAACAATAACAACTCTTTGACCCAGCAATTCCATTACTGGGTATATACCCAAAGGATTATAAATCATCTATTATAAAGATACATGCACACGTATGTTCACTGCGGCACTGTTTACAATAGCAAAGACTTTTGACCAACCCTAATGCCCATCACTGATAGACTGGATAAAGAAAATGTGGCACATATACAGCAATGGAATACTATGCAGCCGTAAAAAAGGATGAGTTCATGTCCTTTGCAGGGACATGGATGAAGCTGAAAACCGTCATTCTCAACAAACTGACACAAGAACAGAAAACCAAATCCTGCATGTTCTCACTCATAAGTGGATGTTGAACAATGAAAACACATAGACACAGGGAGGGGAACATCGTACACTGGGGCCTGTTGGGGGGTTGGGGGTTAGGGGAGGGATAGCAGGGGGTGGGGGGATTCGGGAGGGATAACATTAGGAGAAATACCTAATATAGATGACAGGGGGATGGATGCAGCAAACCACCATGTAACAATCCTGCACGACCTGCTTATGTACCCTAGAACTTAAAAAACAAAAACAAACAATAATTAAAAAACAAAACCAAACAATAACAACCCAGAACTTAAAGGAATATTAGGAGAGAGAATAAGAAAACTTACAATCATTGAGCTCCCGCAGTGTACCTGCTAATGGGCTTGGCATTTTGTACAGTTTTGGAGTGGGGGTTAAGATTTACTTGTACCTTAAACCTGAATTCAGAGAACACCTCCTCTGTGAAGCCTTCCCTGATTCTCTTTTCCTGCTTATAATATCTCATACAGGCTTCTTTAATTGAACAGTTTGCCCTACATATAATTGTTGTTTACATGCACACTTTCTCCACTAAACTCCTTTACAAGCTCCTTTACAACACCTGATATATAACTGGACTCTCATGTGTATTGAATGAATTAATACACATTTGTCTTTCATTAGTACATCTCAAGTGGCTATTAATTAAAAGGATGGATCATGTTATCAACTGGAATTCCTTAGCAAAGCCTTAGATGGTCACAGCTTTAAAATGTGGTTTTACTCATGTATTAGTTCACTGCTCTCATTAAAAACATGCAACATTTTATTTAATAATCCAAAGACAATTTGTTCATAAAATTATATTTTAACTTCATTTTTAAAAAAGCTAACAATTATTTATATTTTTGTTTATTTCAAAATTAGATTTGGAATCTATATATAAATATATATATAGACTCTGATATGATTTGTCTGTATCCCCACCCAAATCTCATCTTGGGAACTTTCTTGCACTTGGTTCTCATTCTCTCTTGTCTGCTGCCATGTGAGACATACCTTGTGCCTTCCACCATGATTGTGAGGCCTTCCCAGACAAGTGGGACTGTGAGTCCATTAAACCTCATTTTCTTTATAAATTACTCAGTCTCAGGTATGTCTTTAACAGCAGTGTGAAAACAAACGAATACAAGCCCCGAATCTAATACATGTATATTTTTCCTTTTGGAGACATATCCATAGTAAATCTGGGTACCCGGTCATCATACAGTTGAATCACCATGGGAAAGAAAATGCCATCTGGCAAGGAGAGGAGTTCAGAGAAATAACTTGCAGAATATGGTAACTCTTGATGCTCTTTAAGATGGACTATCCTTCTCAGTGCAGTGGGAGGTCAGTAGCTTAAAGGGCCAGTTGGAGTTTCCTCATCTCTGGAAGCCTGTGCTGTTTTGACATCTGTTCCTGGGAACTTCAGGCATATTCAAGTCTCTAGAGTTGGGTTTATCAAATGACTTTCCACTTGGATATTTATAAGCCAGGAGCCAGTTGTCCTCCACCTGATGGATTATGTCTGCCACAGTTTCATGTTCTCTTGCAAAATTGTTTATCTCTAAGGGCAAAATTCTAAGGTAATGTTATCTGGGCCAACTTCCTAGACACTTCTGAATCTGGGTTGTCATCATATTACTAATTAAATCTATTTATATCTTATACCCCTACCCACTTCCAAAAATGATCTGAGACTTCTAATGCCTACAAAAATCTTATTTTATACAGAAAAACATGTAAAAAATTTGCAACCTAAAATATCTTCATTTCAGTTTTTATTGTATCTTACTCCAGAAGCAGAGCTGTAAAATATCTAAATTTAAATTCTTTTTAGAAAATGTGAGGATTTTCCAATGTTCACTATGATACCCAGCCATCAGAAAGCCCAAAGAATTCAAACTGGTTCAAATGAAGTTCAAACATTAAAAATATATAAATAATTAAAGACCAATCCAACATCTGTTTTTTTTTCATTCTTACTTCCCCCAACTCTTTCTTCTCCTATTTCATTGCCTTTCACAGCCAAATCATGGTTTGAGAAAATAAGTACTTGCAGACTCGATCTTATCTCCTGAAGTAATAATAGCTGATTTTGAAGTCAGAGAGAATTCCTGGAGTCTAGGTTATGGTCTGTTAAGGAGAACTCTTGGCTTCTGAAAAGAGGTAAGAGTAGGTATAGTTTGACCTATTGGGAATACTAGAACCTTAAATAAAATAAAAAGATTGAATGCATATACAAAATAATAGGCAAATTTATTCTCTCCACATTGGACCAGGAACAACTGCATTCCTATTGCTGCCTCATCTTGAACTAGGCCCATGTGGCTGTAATAGACCCATGCATCTGTTTAACATCAACAGAAAACAAACAGAAGGGCTGTCATCTCTTCCAGTTTGAAACAGATAAAGACAGTGAATCCACAAATGGCAAGCTCATAAGTGCTTTCTTGTGGGGAGAAATCCTGAAGCAGTCTCTTGCTCCGGGAGCAGTGTGGAGGAGACTTTGAAGCAGGAATAGCACCCCATCCTCACCTACTCACCCATGTCTGTTTATTTTGGACATGCTATAGTAAATCCTCCCTGAGCATGCACTGCTTGTGTTTCATGCTGAGCAAACACAGCTTCCGTTTGTTTGGTGATATTCTCCTGCTCGCTGATCCTTGGATTTGCACTACTCTTCTAAAGAAAGGGAACATGTGGGGGACTTAGTGTTTACCAGCCTGTGGTGATGCTTGCTTCTGACAAGAAACCCACTCTGTTTGGATAGGGGGGCTTCTACTGATTAAAACTGGCTACAGGCGGTGAAGTGTATAGGTACATCTCTCCAAGATCTGTGAAGGGCCAACTGTGGAAGCCTCTCTGGGACATTCTGGGAAACTGCAGTGGCTTACACAGCTTCCCTGGCTTATTGCCAGAATGCCTGGAGAGTCAGGAGGAATACCTCCATCTGTAATATGTTGAATTATAAAGTAAGTGGTTAGGGAGGCTAAGCCTTTTGTTATCTCCCAATCTCCACTCCTGGGCAATCGTGAAGTCATAGGAGTTCATTGGGTTAACTTTCCTGTCCTCCTGGCTGCCACAGTGAACACAGTGGTCATAATCCCCTGGATGGTTCAGGTGAGTCCCTTGTCTTCCAGGATAAGCCTGCCTCCCTGCCTGCAAGGAAAGCCCATCTACTGGGTGATATGGAGATGTCTGCAGCTCCTGCTTAAGCCTCCCTTTACACCTTAATCACATTAAATTCAAGCCTGACTAAAGAATGAGAAACCAAGGGAAATAACATTTATAATGTTAATAATTAGTTATTAATAGATGAATGGGCTGCCTTATACCTATGGCTTACAGTATGGAGAAGAAGTGAAATAATAATACTAAACAAAACAGCAGGATAGAGGGAAAACCTGAAGAAGTGCTTGTTTTGCACTGAATTCCAGGAGGAAAAAATGACTAATGTAAACTACTGAATAGAATCTAATTCTATTCTCTAGGCTGGTATGCAAAAGTCCAAGGTCTGAAAAGCACGCAGGGGATCTACCTTTAAGGTTCTTATTCTGTCCAGGCAAGCTCTCATTATGTGGATGATATGTTAATACCATACTCACATGTCAGGTATAGAAAGCTGAGATGGAGAAGGAAAATGAGCCTGAATTAAACCACCTCAGGATGATAGTATGTTAATACTGTACCCTCTAATTAGGTATAGCAAGCTAAGAGTGAGAGGAAAAGAGCCTGAATTAAGCCACAT